AAGAACAATAAGTTTCCATCAATAATGGCTTCGTGTCCTTGCTTGATTGAACCTCACTATTAATTTCTTGCCTCCATGCAAGCCATATATATATTGGTATATATTATCATCACTCTATCTCTATCTGCTTTAATCAAACAACACTTGGTGGGTGATACATGAACTTGTTGGAGTCAATCAAGTATATAGAACTTTGAGGATCTAGATACCATTTCTGTGGGCAGAAATTAATATATATCCATTAAATGTTAATTCTTTGATTTTTTTTTCCCCCAAGTGTATTACAGAATGAATCCAGTATACTTGTTGGCAGCGATCGATCTTGATGTGTTTTATAATGGAGAATAATACGGAGGAGAAGGAAGGAAAACGTGTAACTTGAGTTTTCCATTTCATTACGCACTAATTGTTGAAGGACTACCAAAAGTTGTGAGGTTATCTAATAATTTTGTAGTATAGATGCAACTTAGATCGTGCCCTAACAATAAGTATGATTATTTTGACAATAATTAGTGAATCCTAAATGACTCAACTAGGACCTAAAACTTATGAGACTGGACTCATAAGTGTCTATTTAGTTGTTAAAAAGAAATGGAATAGAATGAGTTGTTAGAGAAAAAATTGATTAAAATAAGGTTATAATTTGAATGAGATATGAGGTAATAGAAAGATGAGATTGTTGTGCATGGAGTGACATAGAGGTGAGAAAGAAGATTGATAACTTTATTCATGCCAATCCACATTATCTCATTTTTCATTGCTTTGTGACTCTTCTCTTTCTATTATTTACACATCTTTCTATCAATTGATGGCCTTGTTTTAATTATTTTATTCTCTATCATCGATCTATTCCATTTATTTCCTACAATCGAACTAGCACAAACTAAAATCTAATGACAATGTACTTTCGAAAAATGCAACCTAGCTATATGATGAATATGCGAATTAAATGGATGCTATTACCTATAGTCTCTTCATTTAAAAATGTAAGACATTTTTAGTATTTCAAAACATAATTAATATACTTTTTTCCAAAAATATTCATAATAAATAAATCGCTTTATATTTATTTTAAATAAAACACCCTACTAAATAAGAGTAAATATGAAAAGATTGTATTAGCTTAAAGACAATTAACTACTTTATTGAAGGTAACTCAATTAAAAATATCTTATATTTTTTAATGAAAAAAGTATATGATATGGATTCTTTATGACTTAATGCAAGATGAAACTCTCAATGACACTAAACACAACGAATGTTGGAGGAGACATCATTTATTGAAGTAATCATATTTAAGGTACTATCATAAATTATATATGGGAACATCTTCTAGTGAAAATTTAAATTTTGATTGATCATGTTGAAAGAGACTGGCATATTTTATTAGACCCAACCTTATTGTTTGTTTTTTTTTTTAATTTATAAACACTCACCATAGTATTGTTGACTACAAGTATATTTTGGACTTAAAATTGATGTGGGCCCTATACCTAATGCTTGTGGGCCTTTGTCCTTTTTTTTTTTTTCTCTTTGGTTTACAGCCCAAGGCATACTTTATATTTACATTTTGAGAAATTCATCATTTAATGTTTATAATTTTAACTTAATTATAATTTAATTTTTAAATTTTAATTCATTATAACTCAATCCTTAAAATTTTAACTCAATTATAACTCAGTGTTTTAATTTTAAATTTTGTACCTTAGTCATTATATTTTTAATCACTTAAATATTAGTCTAGATATCTTAAAAATAAAATTATAAAGATTAAAATTTATTACTAATATTTTAAATTAATAAAACCTTTTAATATTTATAAATATTATAAGTATTAAAATTTTAAAATATTTTTAATCTTTATAATTTTATTTTTTAAAATTTAGTGAATAATATTTAAATAATTGAAACCATAGAGACTGAGTTGCAAGTGGCAAAATTTAGGGACTGAATTACAATTAAGTTAAAACTATAAAGACTGATTTATAGTGAATTAAGATTTAAGGATTGAGTTATAATTGGGTTAAAATTACAAAAATAAATGATTAATTTTCCCTTACATTTTTTATTGGTGCACCTTTGCTTGCTTAGACATAGATGAAACCATATTTTAAAAGGGAGAATTACAACCAAATCTCATATAAAAAAAATTAATTGCTATAAAATTTATTGATAACTGCACTAAAATGTCAGTTGTCAATGAATCTTATAATAATTAATTTTTTATGTGAAATTTTAATGTAATTTTTCTTTAAAAAAATATAGATGAAACCACAACTTGCAGTATTTGAAGCTCGACACTTAAAATTGATTTCTCCTTTGAAGCCCAATGTTTGCTTTGTGCATTGTTTTTTTGGTAAAAGAGTCAGTTTGCTTATGTTTTTCTTGGGTTATGGATGAAACCGCAAACTTCCATTCCATCATTTGAAGTCCAACACTCCTACACCCAATATGCCCATTCATATGAAGTCAAATGGTGTTAGCCATAAGAAGTCAAGGCCAACACTATATTGACACAAGTGCGGCTTGAGCCCAATTTTTATTTTTTATTTCAATAAAAAATTTATAAAATTATATTTTGCCTTTGATATATATATATATATATATATGTATGTATGTATGTATGTATACACTCTCTCATTCAATATTATAAGACATTTTTAATTGAATTACACCTCCAATAAATTAATGAATTGTATTTAAAATTACACACTCTTTTTATATTTATTTTTATTTAGTAGGGTGTCTCAATTAAAAAACCTTATTAGTTATACTTTGAAAAACCTAAAATATCTTATGTTTTGGAAAAAAAAAATACATTATAATATTGAATGGTGGGATTATTTGTTTATTAAAAGTCAAGAATTTGACAAAAATGAACATTAAAAATTGAAAAATTACATAAAAATCACACTCAACATAATTAATTATTTATAAATTTATTGACAACTGAGCTTAAAAAAATGAACTTGAAAATAATTAATTATATTAAATGAAACGTTAAAATAATTCTTACTTAAAAAATTTATATATTGAACTTAGAGGTGACAAAAGAGCCACGGCAGAGACACCATGAAATTAGGTAATAACAATTAATTAATGAATTAATAATTTTCTTAATATAGGGGTGAGCAGAAGCTAAGGTGAGAAGCTGGATAAAAGCTGGATTGAATCATGGTGGAGTGTACAGGGATCATACAATTGACACAACAAACCAAGGATGAATAGACAAATAATAAAATAAGAATAAAAGAGTAGGAAAATAATAGTAAGGATGGAGAGATAGTAGGAGGAGGGGTAGGATTAGGAAGGAGTAGTTTATTGGCTCAATGCTGTCAAAAGGCATGGACTTTTGGTGACACTCTACTGTTCTTCTGATTGAATTGAGCTGTTCACCACAACATCCCCAAAACAAATAAAGTTGATTTGAGTTTACCAATAAGTAAATAAATAAATAAATAAAGTTGATTTGAGTTTGTTTCTGCCAGTTTTGCAGGGGTGGATGTCACTTGGTGTGTCCTTCACTTCTTCTCCCTCACACTATTTCCAATACCAATCTCCTTCACTTTTTACCCTCCCCATCAAATCCCTCCTCCGAACAAAACATTGTGTTGTAACAACAGTACAACACAATCTCTGACTTAGTTAAATTTGAATATTATTGAATGCGAAAATTAATTTTTTTAATTTTTAATTTATTTATAATTCAATCTCTCAATTATGATTTATTGTAACTCAATCCTTCAATTATAACTCATTTATAATTCAATCTTCAACTTTTAAATTACTTATAAATTAATTTTTAAATTTTTATTATTTTTTTTATGTTAGCTTATATCTCACATCAATGAGTAAGGGAATGATATTTTAAAATAATATATAAACATTTTTATCTTTCTTATTTGATAAAAAATTTTAAAAAAAAATTAAAAAATAAAGACTGAATTATAAGTGAATTAAAAGTTAAAAGATTGAGTTGCAGCGAGTTTTAGTTGAGTAATTGAGTTACAATGAGTCATAATTGAGAGATTGAGTTATAAGTAAATTAAAAATTAAAGGACTAAAAGATTAATTTTTTCATATTAAATTGAACTAGAGATTATTTTTTAAAAAAATATTTTTTACATTCACACAAAGATAATTTTAAAAAAAATATTTTTTGCATATACAAAACCTCAAACTTAAAACCTTATATCTAAACGGTTATAATCCTGTTCAATAAAGCACTATTTTTTAAAATGTTTGTGTACTTAATTTTTATTATTAATAATATTTTTTCTAATTTTCAAATAAATATAAATCCTAAATTTTAATATTAAAAAGTATACAAATTAAAGAGGCGGCAAAATTGATGTATTGCAAAAAAAAAAACTCCTTTTCATTTTTACACTTTATTTATTATACTTTGAAGTGGTATTTTTTAAAATAAGTAATGATTATATGTAACAATTTCTATTAACACTTATACTTAGATAAAACCTGAAAATTAAGAATCACATATAATGAGAGAGGAGGCATAATATACAATTTTCCTTGAAATGTTTGCATACTTTTATTCATTTTACTATTTTTTATAAAATATAAAATGTTCTTTCTATTCTTTAAAAGGGTAAGAGAATTCATTGTCTTATTGATTATTGATGATAAATATTTTTCTAAAATTCTTTATAAGATATATTTAAAATTTATCTTGATTCTATCTATAAATTATTTTTAATATTTTTATTAGAATTAAAAAATTTTAATTTTTGTTAATTTTATCTAAAAATTTAATACATTTTTAATTTTAATTTTATTAAATAAACATACTAAAAAATAAAACATTCAAAACATGCACACACATCATACCTTGAGCCCTACAAATCTGCGAATCCTTGTAGCCTTACAGTGAAGTTGTTGAGTCTGATCGTCTTCTCTTTCTCTCTTGTCTGTCCTTTCCTCTCTCAACTCCTGACACTATTTAATCACTTTTTCTCTCACTTATTTCTTTTCTTTCTATTTATCATAATAATATTCCATTTCTTCTCCTGCACTCGCTCTTTGTGTAGTTATACTTAAATGTGTGTCTATATAATATTTATACACTCTCGTGTGTGTTCACACTTCATACTCATTCACCTTCCCGATGAGCATCATCACCGCCAAAACCCCCAACGATTCTTCCTTCTCCTTCTCCAGAAGATATTTCCATTGGCGAAAGAACGCCGATGCCGATGAAGACGACGACGACGAAATCTTAAATACCATCACGACGTCGTCGTCGTCTTCACACGATCAAACCCCGAAGAAAGCCCACTCCATTTCCAAGCTTAAATCTGCTCTTAGTCTCACTTTCTTCGCCAAGACTCGCTCCCTCTACCACTCGGGCTCCACCACAACCCGACCGGTCATCGGGACCCTCTTCGGCAGCCGTCGATCTCATGTGCGTCTCGCCTTCCAATCCGACCAAAAGTCCACCCCCTCCTTCCTCATCGAGTTGGCCACACCAACGAGCGTGCTCATCCGTGAGATGGCTTCCGGGTTGGTCCGGATCGCCTTGGAATGCGAGAAGGAGGGGGCGGCGGCGGCGGAGACAACAACAAAGAACAACAAGACGGTGAGATTGCTGGAGGAGCCTCATTGGAGGGCTTACTGCAATGGAAGGAAATGTGGGTACGCGAATAACAAGAGAGAATGTGGGGAAGAAGAGTGGAGGGTTCTGAAAGCGGTGGAGCCCATAACGATGGGAGCCGGAGTGTTGCCGGCGTTGGTGTCGGCGAGTGGGAAAGGGAATGAGGCAGGTGGGTCCGACGGCGAGCTCATGTATATGAGAGCCAAGTTCGAGAGGGTGGTGGGATCCAAAGACTCCGAAGCCTTCTATATGATGAATCCTGATGGTAACAATAACGGAGGTCCTGAGCTCAGCATTTATCTGCTCAGAGGTTAACTTGGGAGCCATTGTTGATCATCTTCGACCTTCTTAAGGTTAAAGATTATTTCGAAGAATACTATGTTAAAATTGTAGCATTGATTAATGGGAACGAATTATGGAGAGGGATCACAGTGCATGTAATTTATTTCAACGTACGTTGTGGCATACTGGTATGTGTACGATGAATTTCTTGTGTTTGAATTGCAACGAAGATGCAGAAGAAATAGTTTAATGACTGTTTATGTTTCTTTCTTTTCGTACACAAAGGTTTGAATTTCTTAGTTTATGATTGATTAATGGGAATCAATTATGGAAAAGGATTATTACAGTGTCATGTAAACTCACACCGTGAAGATCGCTGGTTCCAGCTTATAATCTCATGTTTTGCCTATTTTTTCTAATTCAGAAAAATAAGACTATTATATAAAAATTATAAATAAACTATTCGAACTTCGATCGTAATTGAGGGCGCGTTGTTAGGAAAAGACGAAGGCCACTTTCTTTCATCAATGATTAATAAAATTTTTATAAATGATACATGATAGGATTTGATTTGTTTTTTAATGTATTTTGATTAAATAATGGGATTTTTCTGTTAAAAAAAAATTATGAACCGTCGGTTACTTTGCCCTTTAAGATGAATGTTGTTTAAAATTTGTGAACGTTATCTGTTGTAGATGAATGTTAATATTAATATGATTGTTGTATATTCATATTTTCAATGCCCGAGGCAAGTTTAAATAATAAACGTATTATTATAATGTTACATTTATTAAAATAGGAAATATTAAAAAAATAAAATGACATCAAATTTGAGGGATCTAAAAGTGAGTGATTAGTGACAAAACATTGAATGGGATGGACAATGGAGGCTGAGAGTCAGAGATATGGAATCCGGTAAAGGCGGGCAATGCTGTCCGTCGTACAGAAATCAACGTACGGTACGGTTATTGGTTCTTCACCGCTGAACAAGATTTACGGCCGTCCGCCTTTTCTGACATTAATGTTTTAAAATAAATTATATTTAAATGTTTAAATTAATATAATGTATTTCCTCCTCTCCTTGTTTCAAGACACATTTTAAGAAGGGAGAATGACAATAAATTTTTTTTAAAATATGTAAATGATAATTTAATCTTTTAAATATCATAATTTTTTAAAAATTTTAAAAAAATTTATTATTAATAAATTTATATAAATTATTAAACTGTCCTTGTTAAAAATAAATGATTCATAAATTTTATTTAAATATTCACAACTTTCTTTCTTATATTTACAACAATGTAACAATAAATCACAATTTTTCATGTTAAATTTCTTATTTACTGTTATGTTATTATAAATATAAGAAGAAAAGTTATAAATATTTAAATAAAATTTATAAATTATTTATTCTCAACAAGAACAATTTGATAATTTATATCAATTCATTAATGACAGAAAAATCCCTTAAAATTTCAGGAAAATTATAATATTTTGAGAGATTAAATTATTATTTATATATTTTAAAAAATTTTATTGTCATTTTCTCTTTTAAAAACACTTTATCTTTAATAAAATTATTTAATGAGATATTAATTATATTTTTATAATATTATTTAAATTTGTTAACTATAAAAGAGGAATGTAATGAAAATTTTAAAATATTTTATTTAAATAGAAAAAAATTGAAAGTTTACTTTCTTTTTAAACAGAGTTAATGATTCAGAAAAAAAATTGACTTAACTACCTCGCTCATTTAGTGAGATAGTTAAAGGTTTTTTATAATAAAAATTAGAGGGAGTAATGTAATTAAAAAGTATTACCTTCATTAAAAATTGTAATCATAACTTAACCCTTTCTCGTAAAGAAGGAAGAGTTGATGAATCAAAAAATTTTAGAGTGTGAAAACAACACACATAGAGACACATTTTATGGAGGCAACAGAACTAATATTGTCAAATTTGAAAATTATTATAATTTACTATTATGCATATGTACTCGAGCAAAATGGATTTTTTTTTTTTTTTCCTTTGTGTGGAAGGTTGCCAACTCAAGGTTGTGTAGATCCTCATTGGGTGCTCATCATAGCAAACTCATCATCAAAAAGGTGATCTGAGCCTTTTATTTTCTTCCTCAAATGATCTTTGTTATTAATTTTAATTTTTTAAGTATGTTTAGTATTATACTTATAAAAATAAAATATATAAAAATTATTAAAAAATTAATATTAAATTTAGAATACTGTGTAAATCTAGATGGTCAATTTATAAGAATTATAAAAAAATTTAATATTAAATTAGACATTTTAAATTATATTTATAATATACAAAGTACATTTAAATAGTTAATTTATACAAATTATTAAAAAATTAATATTAAATTAAATCATTCAAATTGAATCTATACTAGCAAGATTAGTGATAAGCAATGTTATTAAAGATTTTTATATTTTATACATATTTTTATTTAAATAGACATAAAATAAAAATAAAAACTTAAATCTAGACTGTCCATATCTCATCAAAGGTGATAACTACTATATAACATTCATCCTCTAATAAGAAAAAAAAAATAGTTCTAATTTAATATTAATTTTTTAATAATTTTTATATTTTTTATTTTGATAAATATTATATTAAAAATATTTTAAAAATTAAAATCAATTGTAGAGATCATTTGAGGGAAAAATTAATGGCTCAGATCACCTTACGAGTGATGAGTACTGAATGAATATTCATGTTGTGTAGGCACCACACCACCTAAGAGAGACACGCTTATGCAGACACATAAATAGGGCTACATATGAGAAGGGTTTGGCTAAACATTACCCCTACGTGGAGCTCTGCCTGATTGGCCCAAAAAACTTACCTTTATATAATATTAAATTAAAAATAATTTTTAAATTTTGAAAGAATAAAAAATGTTAAAAAATTATAAAAATAATATAATTTATGATAGCACTCAAGCAAAAATAATATTATTAAATAAATATCATTTGTATAAAACTAAAAACACACACCATCTGTAGGGTCAAGGTTGTCAAGCCGCTTGAATAGCCCCTACAGATAAACATGCCCAACACCAATTCTAAACTTTCTTCCGGAAAGCGGCGTTGTTAAAAGGATTACAGTTAAACAAAAAAAAGTAATTTTCATTTTGGGGCCGCTGAAAGCACAAATTAGCGATGATAATATTGTAAATTTGCCCGTGATATGAAAAATTGGGAGAATTTAATGTTCGTTTGATTTGACCTGACCATTAGTTAATTGAAAAAATAGTATTTTAGTTATGATTTCGGAAAACACAAATAAAATAAATGTAATAATCACATATTTATTTAAAAAAAACAGATTAAACTTTAAACCAAAAAACATTTTTTTTAATTTAAATTATCACTATATTTTAGGGGACTTCACGTAGTCGTCTTCTTTTGAATGAGGATTCGTTTGGGCCATTGTTTTTTTAATAAGGATTAATTTATTTAATTTATTTTGTAAATTTTTCTCTTTTTTTTTCCCTTCCGAAATTAAAACAGAGTTAAAAATGAAACAGGCTCAGCAGAGCCCAAATCAAAAGTATTACATTATCAAGTATCACCCGCCAACGTCGTTTTGTTCAAAAAAAAAAGGTTCAAATTCTCTTCTGTAGCCTATTTTCTTTCTAGTTTGAATAATCCTCCTTGGTCGTTCGGTTGGATGAAAAATAAGAAAACTGAACACATAATTCGTTAATGTTAGTATGTTAGTAAATGAGGAAATGCCGAAGAAATGAGTTTATTGTAACTTCTGATGATGCAAATATATATAAAAATAGGAGAAAACTGATGAGTAGGGTTCTTATAGTTTTTTTCAATTTTAACTTTAGTCCTTGAAGTCTTTTTTTTTTTTTGGCCTAATAAGTCCTTCTAGATTATTCTATTTTAATGAAACACTCATAGTTTGATACATTAAATATATTAATTTTTTGAAGGTTAAAACATGTATAAATGATTAACATTCTCAAAATAAAAATACTTTTAAAGTTTATAAAAAATTTGATTATGAAAAAAAAGAAATTTTATTTAATAGCATGTTTACATATTTTAATCATTTTTATAAAAAATTCTACATGTGTAAAAATTATTTAGAAGACATAACCTAATTATATAAGTTTTGAGTTATAAAAATAATGTAAAGAATTTTAAATTATATAATCTTTTTATTAAAAATGTAAAAGTTCTTAATTTTATTATTTAAATAAAAAATTTAAGAATTTTAATTTCATGAATTAATAAAGGATAAATATAAATTTTGGATCTAAACTGTAAGTTTGGAAGTGATTTAAACCTTAAATTTTTTTAAAAATATATTTTAAATTATAAATAATTAAATTTGAGACAAGTTAACCCACACTGTTAATTTAGATCAAAGGTCAGTGACTTTAAATGGTGGGTCCTACATTTGCATTGACAACTCCTTGCTCTCTCCAAATGGTCCATCCACAGCAACCCACCTAACCTTAAAACTCGCGTCCGCATTCGGTGCAGCACCGAGTGGCTTCTAGCCCTCCATTTCAACCTTCTTCAATTTCTGTCTCGTCCATTTAAATTAATTTTTAAATATTTTTAATATTATGTTTATTAAAATAAAAAAATATAAAATTTTAATATTAAATCTGAACTATTTAAATGATAAATTTATAAAATTTATAAATTTTTTAATATTAAAATTAGCTAAATTATATTTAAACTGTATAGAGTTTATAATTAAATTATAAAATTATAAATTTTTTAATATTAAATTAAATTGTTATATTAAATCTGTACTAACTGGATTAGTAATTAAGAGATGTATTAAAATTTTAAAATTTTTATATCTTTTATATTAATAAATATAATATTAAAAGTATTTAAAAATTAATTTAAATAGCCGGTAATGATCAGCGCTGATGAGCATGCAGTGCTTATCACAAGCACCAAATGCAGTTCCCTCAAAACTCTATATATATCGAACAATAAGAAGTGAAGTAGCGTCTCCGGGCTACAGTTGCTCAAAACGTGTTGTCAAAGAACAGAAGCCTCTGCAATATGCTCGTGTACAGAGGAACCACCCGTCGAGAAGCTATGAAGTTATTCAAAGGTCCGTTTAGGTTCATGGATGTCATCACGATCGTCACGTTTCTTTCTCTCATTCTCATCATTAAAGGACATAGAATATGTTCATAGGCATTATCTTCTGAATTTCTGAAGTATGGTGCCATTTGACGCAGAAGGTCTTCCTCTTTGT